GGATGAATTCAGGAGGATTTCAGGATGAATTCAGGAGGATTTCAGGAGGATTTCAGGAGGATTTCAGGATGAATTCAGGAGGATTTCAGGAGGATTTCAGGAGGATTTCAGGATGAATTCAGGAGGATTTCAGGAGGATTTCAGGAGGATTTCAGGATGAATTCAGGAGGATTTTAGGATGATTTCAGGAGGATTTCAGGATGAATTCAGGAGGATTTCAGGATGAATTCAGGAGGATTTGAGGATGAATTCAGGAGGATTTGAGGATGAATTCAGGAGGATTTCAGGATGAATTCAGGAGGATTTTAGGATGATTTCAGGAGGATTTCAGGATGAATTCAGGAGGATTTCAGGATGATTTCCTGATTGTGACCCTGTTTGTTCCTCTTCCCTCCCTGGGTTTCCTGACAGGCTCTGGTGTGTTGCGTTGTGTAACGTTTGTCTCATAAATGAAGCTGTTCACATCATGTTCAGCTGTTTTCTTCATGATGACACACATGAACAGATGAATGAAGTCAACATGTCCAGACGGATCAATCAGGGGAGAAATGTGAAGTTGGGTGTATTTTATTTATTTGTTATCCAGGCTGATCCCGTTGAGATCTGTTTTTCACCAGCAGCCTGAAGGCGGCCCTCTGTCCATGTTTGTGTGTTGTACCCAGAGAAAACCAGGGCATTCTGATGTTATCAGTCCATGAAATGGATGTTATTAGGTGTTATCAGTCCCATACAATGGCTTCAGAGGGTCCCTGCTGTGCCTTCTGGGCTTCAGACTGTCCCGACAGTGCCCCCTAGTGGGTTAATATATCAATGACAATGAATGTGTAAATAACAAAAGAAATTGTAATAAATTCTTTGTGTCGTCTCAAACCCTGGTCTCCCGCTCTCCGGTCCGACACTCTACTCATTGTCCTGTTGGAAGGCCGCAATATACAAGCGTTGGAGGGCGGGGTCTTTGGCACTAACCATGTCACTTACTCTAAGGTTAACCTTAGTGGCTTTAAGCCTCATGTTAACCAGCTGACCTTCTGAAGCCATTCTATGGGACTGATAACACCTAATAACGTTCATTTCATGGATGATAACATCCAAAGCGGGTGGAGAAAACCCACACAGGCACAAGGAGAATATGCAGTCTCCACACAGAAAGAACCCAGGTCCAAACTGGGGATCGAACCCAGGACCTTGTTGCTGTGAGGCGTCGGTGCTAACCACTGATCCACCTGTCTGAGCTGTGGCAGCCATGTTTGTGTGTTTGTGACTGGTTAAAGTGAAGTCATTAAGTGTGTGCTGCATCATCATCATCATCATCACCATCAGGGAGCTTGGTGCTCGGCTGCAGTAAAGATCAGTTTCAGTTTATTTGAAGAAGTCCAGAAGTTTTCCCTCTCCTCTACTTGGATTTACAGTCCTGATGAGGAAGCAGGAATATTTAATCCTGATTTTTCAACCTGGTTTCCTCTGAGCTTCCAGCCTGCGTGCTGCTCACCTCAACCTGTTCCACTCATCCTCCCATCCATTCATCCATCCATCCTCCCATCCATCCATCCATCCTGCACATCTGCTGCGCCCACAACTCCCACTGTTTGATTGCCTCGGAGGCAGCTGCTGCGGCGCGCAGACGAGATGAAAGACAGCAGGAAGACGAGAGGAAACGTGAAGAATTGAGAGGGAAGGAGAAAGGCACGCCGCGGGGAGGAGGAGACTCTGTAAACAAAGGCAGTGGAAGGAGGGCAGGAAAGATATTGGTTGGGAAAGAAAAACAGAAGCAGAAATAATTGGACAGGATGAGGAGAGAAGAAGACCGACCTCAGGAGGAAGGATCGATTATTAGATTGAAGAATAAGCTGTGTTTCATCTCTCAGCACAGCCTCTGTCCAGGTGTGAGAGGTGACAGAAACACAGCACAGCTCCTTCCTGGTTTTCTACCAATTAAGCATAAAAACTGCAGCAAAAAGAGTTCGGTTCTGGTGCTGCGATGTGACCCGGCAGCTCTGCCTGGTTCTGTTAACGGAGACAGAATCTGCAGTAAAACTTCATCAGACGCTCCTCGTGTCATCCTGACTGCAGCTTCTGCTGAAACCCACTGAGTTTGGATCAGAACCGCCCTCACATTCTACTGGTTCCTTTCTAACAACAACTTTATTTTTCTGCTTTTATTTAGGAAAGCAAAGGTTTTTCTGTGTGGATCAGACGCAGGTTAATGTTGTTCCTGAGCAACAAAACCAAAGCTCTGTGATTATCAGCCATCTTTTCTCTGCCTGTTTCCTGACTGGGTTCAGGCTGGAAACAAACTGTTTCACTGGAGCAGCGTTGTGCTGGGAGCAGGAGAGCTCAGCACAATGAATCAGAGGTATTTTTACTGCTGTATTGTTGAGCTTTCAGCTCAGGCCTCAGGTCAAAGCCGGCCTGTAGAGCCTGAAGCTGCACGTGTGAAACGCCTCCCGCTGCCTGGATTAAAGGCCTTTCTGTCACCAAACTGGAGGCGCTGCTTCCAGCTGCTGCAAGAATCAGAGCTTTTAGCTTTTCTCCTCTTCTTTTTGCTTCCTAACAGGTTTCACATCTGTCTCCAACAAACCAGAGTCGTGTGTGTTTTCTGCACCGTCCACTTTAAACACTACAAACTTTTTACAGAACTGCTGCAGAAAACACACAACGTGTGGCTTCAAATGACCTGTAGAAAATCCAGCCTGGACAAACAGGACGTTGGATCACACTGACACACAACCAGGACTCACAACTCCAACAACACAAGGAACAAATTAACAAGAGTTTTACAAAATACTAAACAGGACAGGCAACACAAATAAACAAAGACACAAAAACACAGTGTACACAGAAAGCACAACCAGGACTGTTAA